TTTTGGTGTTTTGGTGTTTATGATACGACAGTAGAGAGCAGACAGGAAGCAAAGACGGAGAGAAAGGGGGCAAAATCGAGAAAAGTCCTTGAGCCGGGATTCGAACTCGGGACGCCCGTAACGCAATGTCATTATATGTCGCCACACTGCCCACTAAGCTATTAGCACTGACTCGCAAACCATCTTTTGGTGTTAAAATAGTCAGGTATAGGTATAGGTAATAGTAAATAGTCAGGATTTACTAAAGACGCGCAGTGAAGAATTAGCGCTGAAAAGGCGTGGACAGTTATTTTTTACGCCTGAACTTATGGAATATGCATTTCTAGGAGTTTCCCTTTCAGATGCAAAATTGATGGGAGGAGAGTATTCAAATGAATCACGCAACGCGTTTTACTAACGTTTGCGCTCGTCAAATTACTGGTATTTGCAGCATTATTTAAAGCCCCAAAAAAGCATATCTTAAACTATTTTGCGCTTGAAATGGCTGCAATTATTGTTGCTAAGAGGCGGCTCTGTGGATTTTTTCCACACGTATTTCATTTATTTGGAATGCCAGAAGAACACATTATCCGAATCCGAACATATCCTTATGCTAATTTGTACTGTGCTTGCTAGATTGCGTTGGTCATTATGGAAATGAGATGTTGCGTCTGTATTTTTATTAAAATTTGCGTGTTGTCAGTAAATCACCCGCAGAAATTTCCACGCCCATCGACTCAGTGTTTAAACACAGCTAAGGTCTTATTCCCTACGAAGCCTTTTCTACCGCATTAAAGGACAAACCTTTCAGTTTCTATAAAATATGGTACCCTTTTCTCACTTATCTTGGTATGGAAGAAACACATTTACTAAAGTTAGGAATCCAGAATTTAGCATGGAAAGGTTGAAAGGCTACCCTATTGTATTGTATTTTCACGGTTATGCTGTTTTTTTGTTTCTGGTTTTATTTATTTCTCTTTTTTTGTGAATAATAGTTTACGTTCATATCCATACCATTTGTTTATTTGTCTTGTTGAATTTGTATGTATTTGTAACTTGTATGGGTGTTTTGGATTTGTGAAAACCCTGCCAATATCAAAACCTGCAATAAAAAAAATAAAAATAAAAACTCACTTTTGCTGAGGTACACAATGAGTTGATATATCTGGGCTATTCCTTCCTCCGTGAGAGGCATGCCGAACACAACACATTTGTCTGGAAAACAAAACACGTAAACCAATTAAGAATTAAACACATTTTTCGATAATAATAGTGTGTGAATTTCTTTTTTAACTAAATTACTTTTAGCTTTCTAAAGACTATGTTTCATTGACAGCCTTAGTTTATAACAAATACATATTTCAGATATATTTGCAAATAATACATTTGAATTCACTGTCAGTTTAATCTGAGTTCATAACAATTACAGAAGGATTTGGTGGAATAAATTAAACGATGAAATTATTAAATACACCATGAAATGGGGGGGAAGTTGTGGCCTAATGGTTAGAGAGTCCACCCAAAGGTTGTGGGTTCGAGTCTCGTACCGGCAGGTGTGTGTGCACTAAGGATGGGTTAAATGCAGAGCACTAATTCCTAGTATGGGTCACCATACTTGGCCACATGTCACGTCATGTCATGTCAAATATTGCAATAAATACATTTTGTAAATTGTAACTTGAGGTATGTCTTTAAAATAACAAAGTTAAATATACCTTGAAGTAAAATGTAGCAGACAACATAAAACAATTATATGAATAATATAAATACTTATTGTATATAAAAAGTCTATTATGAAAAAATATTCATGCAAAAGGCCTATTTTTATATGATAAGGCATATTTCACATCGTTTTTACACTACTGTTCAAAACTTTGGGGTACGTAAAGTTTATTTTATGTTTTTAAAGGATGTCTCTTCTGCTCACCAAGGCTTCATTAATTTTATAAAAAATACAGTAAAAATTGTGAAATATTATTACAATTTTAAATAGCTGTTGTCTATGTGAGTATATAATAAAATAAAATGTATTCCTGTGATGCAGCGCTGAATTTTCAGCATCATTACTCCATTCTCCAGTGTCACATGATCCTTCAGAAATCAGTCTAATATGCTGATTTGCTGCCAAATAAACATTTCTGATATTATTCTTATTATCAATGTTGGAAACAGTTGTGCTGCTCCGTATTTTTGTGGGAACCCTGATATATTTTTCTTTCATGATTCTTTGATGAACACTACAGAGAGTTCAAAAGGACAGCCTTTCTTTGAAATAGTAATCTTCTGTAAAATGTATTTTTATTAAACTGAATTTATTTTATATTCACAACTGAATTCATTCTATATCAGTGCCTTCATTTCACTGGGAACCAAATACTGTTAGTCACACAAAGAAACCAATCAGGTCCTGACTTGTTTTGCCTCAGTTTTCACCCGTTACTGTTGACCGCAATGAATCTAGAGCCGGCCAGTCGATAGCAAAACCCTACGGCTGGAAACTAACTCGAACAGCAATCGCTTAACTTCCGAGAACTTCCCAAAACAGACGACGTAATTCTCACACTGAAGGTTATTCAATAGTTTTTGACAATAGCGTCTGAAATCTTCCCACAGAAGAATCACCGGTGCCTCCACAAGAAGCTCAAAGGCATATCGACAACAGACTGGTGGTAAATTTGTAGGAAGCATGAGGAAGAATTAATGCCCACTGCAGGCTGAAACAGAAACAGAATACATAGCTAGTCAATGGAAAATGGCTACAATTAAAAAAAAAACCTTCTGACCTTTGCGTTTGAGGAAGTTGAACGAGCGGAAGAAGCCTCCGGCCGCAGTGGCGTTGGGCGTCTTGGGCGCCTCGTCTAGTAGCTGTGAGAATTCGGCTCCCGGGAGGTCGATGAGCCGCGTGATGTTACTCAGCACCAGCTCGGTGAAGGCCTCGGGCCGCTCGTGACGCAGCTTCTCCACGAAGAAGTCAGGGTTGAAGATGATGGGCGTTTCCGACTCCTGACTGATCACCACATTGCACACCGTGCCCCTACGAACACACAGATATCATGGCATGAGGGCTGCACGATTATATGACAAAAATCATAACTGTCGATTATTCCCTTGAAATTGTAATTGCGATTATTAATTACGATTATCACAATTTACATTGAATGATGTTTATACCATTGTTTGATGCAACTGCATGCCGTATTTTTATATGAAAATAAACAAGCTGAAAACACTCTAACTGAAAAACCTTTAGTGCTTTTCTATAGTATTAAGCCTCAAATGTCAACTATACATCGGATTTGTTTCTTCTTTAAATTATAAAAAAAGTAAAAATATGAATGTTTATAATGTTATACTAAAACTAAAACAATGGGAAAACCCTTAAGATAACATGTAGAAAGAAAAAAACATATTAAGCACACAGAATAACATAAGTGGACTTTGAACGATTAATTGCCGCTTTGAACGATTACGTAATTGTGGCATCCATAATTGTAATCGCGATTAGAAATTCGATTAATTGTGCAGCCCTACATCAAATCATTCAAATAAACATGTCATCTTAACACACCTTGACTTAAATACATCTGATCTATGATGAGAACTTTTTCATTTTCGGAATTAAAATTAACTTATAATTTAAAAATATATTAACTTATATTTTTTGAGGGGCGTAAAGTAAAAATGTCAGGGTGACACAACTGTACTTTCATCACAGTACTACAGAAAAATAATTAAAATAATTAAATTCTTGAAAAAACAAAAACATTAAGTAATTTTGCATTATCTTTTATTAACAAATATATATTTTAAAAAAAAACATTAAAATCTTTGATTAATATAACTTGTCATGTGGTGAAACCATCATGCAAAAACAAAACAGGAAATGTGAATCAAGGGCAATAAATCTCTTAAAATATCCAATAATTCAAATAAACTAAGCCAAGGTTAGTTCGGGCTTAAAATGTCATGCGGTGCGACTCAAAAACATAATATTTATTAATTAACAATCTAATTCAAGATATGTGAAAAAAAACTTTTCAAAGTAAAAAAAAAAAAAAGTTATTTCTTTTTACTTGGTTACACCACATGACATCAAACTGAAACATTAGCAGACGCTTTTATCCAAAGTGACTTACAAATGAGGACAATGGAAGCAATCAAAACCAACAAAAGAGCAATGATACGCAAGTGCTATAACAAGTCTCCGTTTTTTTTTTTTTTTAAATAAAAAGAAAACCGATAGAAAAAGAATAGAGCAAGCTAGTGTTAGAGGCCTTTTTTGCTTTTGTTAATTGTATAATAAATAAAAAGAAAACAAATAGATAGAATACAAAACGATTAGAGAAGCAAGTGTTAGTTCTTTTTTTTTTTTTTTAAGAAAACAAGCAGTTAGTATTGAATTGAGTGCAAGTCTAAAAGTCTAACATTAAATTTAAAATTTATGTAAAATGGTATACATTTTTATACCATATGATACAAATACTACATTTGTACTTTAACTTGGCGTGTAGATTTTTCCTTTTCTCTTGAAGGCCATAAACTGTAAATTTATACATTTATTGTCATTTTATCCAGCAAAGACAGTTATGGAAGCCTTGAATGAAACAATCCGATTACTTACTAGATTATATACACGAAATATTAGGATATTTTTGCATGCTCATTTAATATAGTCAGCTCTCAACTTAATACAAAATCAACATTTCCCAGATAATAATATTAATAAGTTGCTTTGTTTTCAGCGCAATTCTACATGGATTTGGCAGAAAAGGTTAAATCTATAATGAAATTATTCATGGAACACTGAAATTAAGATAAATAAATAAATGTACAATAAAATGCATGCAGAAATAAATAATATATAAAATGGTATACTAGATACTAGTATACTACATTTCTAATAACCTGGCATGTGTGTTTAAAACCGATTTTTCCTTATATACACGAAATATTAGGATATTTTTGCATGCTCATTTAATATAGTCAGCTCTCAACTTAATACAAAATCAACATTTCCCAGATAATAATATTAATAAGTTGCTTTGTTTTCAGCGCAATTCTACATGGATTTGGCAGAAAAGGTTAAATCTATAATGAAATTATTCATGGAACACTGAACATGGAACATTTTATCCAACAAAGACAGTGATGGAAGCCTTGAATGAAGAAAAGTGTGCTTAAAACTGCTTTAAAATTCCTTCTGAGCAAGTACAGAACAGAAATGATTATGTATTATAATGTATATTGAAAATGTCAAAACATCAAAGAATGAGACAATCCGATAATTGGTAAAACGCGTTGAAAACATGTAACGTTAAGAAGCTTTCTGAATACAGCTGTCACTTGGTTTCACTCTTATTTTGATGGCACTGAAGTACAGATAGTACTCTGATATTTACCATGTTACCAAGTATTACTATGGTACTGCGCGTTTATGCCCATTCGAAGTTACCACGATGTTTCTACCTCGCTGCTTCCACCCAACAACGTCTTTGCAGTTATTCAAAAGTGTAAATATTTTACTGTATTTTCAGACTATACCTGTTTGACTAACATTTTTGTAAATAAAAACTCGTTACCTTCGGTCTCGTTTATTTACATCGGTGTCTTTCTCCGCGGCCATCTTTCATCTTCCGTTTGAATCCGCCGCTGCTGAGGCGTTAACCGCTGCTTAATCATGATTGGACAGTGAAGGAAAAGTGGGCGGGGCTATGGAGCCAGGCGGGTTTGCTGAGTCCTGATTGGTCTATTCAAATGTTTCAGAGATACACAGATCTGGGAACAGCCGTGAAGACGTCTATGTTGATGATTATATTAAAAAAAAGCGACCCTTTAAATGTGTAATATTATTTTACATTTACATATGAGTATTTCTTTTCGTCTCACTGTTGCTAAAGTGTTAACACTGAATGTTGTCGATATTTAGAAAATAACCGTAATGGCCAAATAAATATGCATCTAGCTCATTGTGCTATGATCAACGTGAATTTACTACTTTATATGAGACATAAATCTCTCTAAATGGATATATATAGTCTACAGATTGAATTAAAGTCAGGTGTGAAGTATAAGCATTGTGATTTTGCTTTTTTTGAACATTTATAGAAAGGCCATCAACACTTTTGTGCATAGCAATCATGAGTTTATTTATTAACATAAAACAACAATGAATAAAATAAAATTGAAAAGATTGACCAAGCTTAAACATCTTAGCAAACACATGGAAAATCCACATGGAATATGCATCATCTACTCAAAATGTTATGGTAGTCATGGTATATATATATATATATATAGTTTTAAATATGCTGCAAAAATGCTGTTTTAAAAGTAGTCAAATGCAATGTTTGTGTTCAAATGTCTTATCAGAAATATACTACATGAACTGAAATCAATAAAAAATAAAAGGATAAATAAATATAAATATATAAATGTATTTATTAGGGAGAATGTAAAACATCATTAGTGCGAATCTACCAAAAACTATTCCACTTTTGCATAGTTCGCTACGTCAGATTCCGCCAATTCCATAATCTTTCCCATCAGTGATACTGATTGTAAATTGTTGTGCATATACATATATTTTATATTAGTGGGTTACAACATAATCTAAATAAATTACATCTGACATGAATAATGCTTGTAGATTGTATTTATAGGATTTTCACACATTCCTTTCTGTGGGAAACATAATAGTGATATAAGCTGTTAGTGCACTTTTAAGTTAAAAAAATTGTAAGAGCCATTTTTGTAGAACTGGCTTAAAATATCTCTTCACATGATATTAAACGAAGAAAAACAATGCAAAGACAGTGGCATACAACAGCTGATCTTCAAAGACATCATTTCATCCTCAGGGTGTAGAATAACATGGCATGCTCGTTTTGCACCTGTTCAGGTGTTCACTGTCGGCCTTTTTTGTAGGTGCGAGATGGAGGAAGTAACCAGGCAGACGCCACAACAGATCAAACACTGTTGCTGTTCTCAAACATTTTCCAGAGATCCTCATGCAGAGCTAAATTACGTGATCCAACATCTGCATGGACTCCATGATGGCCTCATCCTGAACAAAAACAGTTGGTAAAAAACAACAACAACAACAACAACAACAAAGAGCATATTAAAGGAACAGTTCATACAAAAATTGAAATCTGCTAAACATTTACTCATTTAATCATGTAGATGAGTTAGTTTCTTCATCAGATTTGGAGAAATGTAGCATTGCATCAGTGTCTCAGCAAAGGATGCTTTGCAGTGAATGGGTGCCGTCAGAATAACAGCTGATAAAAACACCACAGTGTTTGTTTAGAGCATGCTTTGGGCTGTTCTTGCTTGTAAACAGTTCTTGATCTGTGCATATTTCTCTCCTGATTCTGACAGTATGACTTTTTCATTGGAGGAAACTTTATTATGAAATATGGACTTGTATTTTAGCCAGAAGCGACAGTTTGAAGTTAAGAACTTAGTGATGGATTTGTTTCTTACAAACATTTAGCTTTTCACTTCTCAAGACATTAACTGATGGACTGGAGTAGTGTGGATTACTTGTGGATTATTGTGATGTTTTTATCAGCTGTTTGGACTCTCATTCTGACGGCACCCATTCACATCCATTGGTGAGCAAGTGATGCAATGCTACATTTCTCCAAATCTGATGGAGAAACAGACTCATCCTAATCTCGGATGGCCTGAGGGTACATTTTCAGCAATTTTTCATTTTTGGTTAACTATTCTTTAATGTAGACATCACTCCTAATTAATTTTACTGATGTTTGGAGTGTTCATTTTGGACCCTGGATACACCTTAGTTCTTATGTGTCTTTATAATGAGTAATCACACTCACATTCTAAAAAAAAGAAAAAAAGAAGATTTTTATTGAATACCAAAAGCATAAAAAATATAGAAATCATAATTAGTTTTCGTGTCGTCCTTATACCTTTTGACACGATTCCAGGAACTCCTCCATTGTGACGACACCATCATTGTTGCGATCCATTTTCTGAGTGCAAACAGATAAACGATCAATAAATGAACAATCTGAGACCTAGTAGAAGCATGGCAGGCGTTAGAAGTTTAAAAGAAATAATAATTAGAATAAATATTTGTTTTATGTTTTTTTTCTTTTGCTTTACCAAGGCTGCATATTTAGTTGATCAAAAATACAATAAAAACAGTAATATTATGAAATATTTTTACGATTTAAAATAACTCTTTTCCATTTGAATATATGGTAAAATGTAATTTATTGCTGTGATCAAAGCTGAATTTTCAGCATCATTACTCAAGTCTTCAGTGTCACATGATCCTTCAGAAATCAGTATAATATACTGATAATAATAATTAATGCATTTAGCAGACGCTTTTATCCAAAGCAACTTACAGTGCATTCAGGCTATACATTTTTTATCAGTATGTGTGTTCCCTGGGAATTGAACCCACGACCTTATGCGCTGCTAACACAATGCTCTACCACTGAGCCACAGGAACATTCAAGAAAAAGAAAACATGAAAGAGACAGAGACAGTAAAAAGACAGCTTTCTTGAAGGTACCTGGAAGAAACGTTCGACATGTTCTCTCGGTGCGCTGTCCTTCATACACGGATGCGTATACTTCCCCATCATATCATAAATAGACTTCATAATATCATTCATCTCCTAAAACAGACAGAATAATTGAACCAATACAGTAATGGATTCACATAAATGACCAGTTTATGCACCAGAATAAACCTTAAATACACAGTTTAGTGTGACAATAGTCTATACATCTGTGATACTGTACCTCTTTAGTGATGCAGCCATCTTTATCAAGATCATAAAAACTAAAGGCCCAGCACAGTCTCTCAGTGACGGTACCACGCAAGATGATTGACAGGCCAACCACAAAATCCTGAAGCCAATGAGAAATCAGAGACCAGTTAGTGTAAAAGACAGTACAGTTTTAATATGCAACATGATGATAACAGCGAATCATCTATTGATCTGACTATAAAATCCATTTTTTGTGAAAATATCATTGCTAATATAGCACAAAATACATTGACTTTAAGATGCACATTTTACATATTATTGTATATGCTTTGGTATATGCAAATATACTATATGCAAATGGTATACAAATTATATTTATTCATATAAAGTATATGAATAAACAACAAACTGACCTCAAAACTTACTGCTCCGTTTTTGTGTCTGTCAAAAGCCTCAAACAGGAAATGTGCATATGCGCTAGAATCTTAAAACGAATTAAACGTTAAAATCTTTAAATTAAATTAATTGAAAGGTTGGAACAAACTGATTTAATTAGCTTCATGAATTAATTCACTCACCCCCATGAGGAAAAAAGTGAGAGTAGATTAACTTAAAAGTCTCTTCATTTACTAATCCAGTGGGACATTCCTACAGCACATAGAAATAATTATAAACAAAAATATATTGAACAATATTTCATTATTTAATATATTTAATAACAATGAAATGATTTGAGAAAATGATTGTAAATGGGACAGAGCCCTTTAATATGTATCCAACACGTAAAGAAGAAAACGTCGTAAGCGTAACCTAGCCATGTCACGGAAAAACCCAACCCGATTTCACGAGAAAACGTATTTTACGAGAAAGCGAATATTTTACAAAATTGCAATTTCGTACAAATCCATACAGTGGGATTTGTTGGAAAACGCATTATAGTGTGGACCTAAGCTGGTCGTACAAAAAATGTAACACGAAAAATTGTTTCGAAAAAATAGTTACGCAACTATCACGTGACTGTGTTGGAAAAAGCTAATTTTTGCAAAGAGTCTGTCAGCAAACCCACAAACCATGAGTAATCTTTCTTAGTTCACGCGTGGAGAGACTAGCCAATCACAACAGAGGTGATTTACATTTAGAAGTCTTAAAGGTACAGTAAGCCTTTTTTGCTTGAAAAAAAAAAGTGTAGGCGAGAAGCATAAACTAGGGGTGTGCGATATATATCGTCTGCGATAATATCGTAATTCAAAATATCGTCTAATTATCGTTGTCGATAAAATCCCATAAAATATCGAGATATCATTTTTTGTCAATATCGCACACCCCTAGCATAAACACACGTTAAAAATTGTATATCACTATACAAACTTATTGTCGAGTCCATCAAGAATTCGGAATTTATAAAGTCGTTAAGGGAAAAGTTTCTTACATTTTTGAAACTTCTATAGAGGATTTGTAGCTCTGTTTTAGAGAATTTGGTCTGTTCCATCATTTTTTCCAGACTATCCGGCCTGCAGCACACAGTGGCAAGCTCAAAATCCTCCTCTATACTGTCTATATGACGGATGAAAAGATACAAATATTATACAGAAAATTGCAAACAATACTAAATGCATTTTAGAGATATGTCTAATTAGTTACAGACAAAGAACACGAGGAAAGGAAAGCAACAGACAGTGGGTCACTTGCTTTGCCTGACAGTTGGTGTGGAGTCAACATGACAGCAGGGCAGAAGTTTGAGGAAGCGCTGCTTCATGTTCTTTCTGCTCTGGCCTGAGGGAGGGTTACCTACAAACACAAACAACATTGGGAAACTGCTTAGCTATGCAAAAGTGCTTTGCAAATCATTTCAATTCTACTACAAAGACACAAAACTATTTGCAAAACGGTAGTCCGTC